TCTCTCTCTCTCTCTATTTCTCTCTCTCTCTATCCCTTTATCTACCTACCTACCTACCTACTCTCTCTCTCTCCCACCTATCTACTGTATTTCTATCTCTATTTCTCTCTCTATCCCTCTACCTACCTACACACTCTTTCGCACTACCTACCTACTGTATTTCTCTCTCTCTCTCTATTTCTCTCTATATATCCCTTTACCTACCTACCTACTCTCTCTCCCTACCTACTGTATTTCTCTTTCTTTCTCTCCCTCTCTATCCCTCTATCTACCTACCTACTTTTTTTTTAATTTGCCTCTTCAAAACCTTGGTGCGTCTTATACCCCGGTGCGTCTTATACTCCGAAAAATAAGATATGTTATAGACACTGACAGAAAGTGGAAAACCTAGTATGTCACGGAAGATACAGATATGGGTTTGTGTATGCACACACACACACACACAATATTAAGGGGGGGAAACTAGCCAAGTTTAGTATAAATTAGTATAAATAAAACTACAGCATATTCAGGCAATAGCTGTGCAGAATTGGTGGTGTGCATTCGTTATCTAAGATTCCGATTTTAACAAAAATGCCCTTTAAGAAAAATGTAGATTCACTTGTCTGTGAAATATCATATGGGTCTTCCTTCACTGATTTAGCCCTGTAGCAAAATATTGAGAACAAATGAAATACAGTGGCAATGTTCTGTTGAATCTCATTCTATACCACTGTCTCATTCCAGAGCATCATTCGCTCTTGACTCACTTCCTAGTAAGCATCATCAGCTATGCAAAATACATTTTGAAATGCATATTGCCTTGACCTCTTAGAAAAAAGAAATAGCATGAAACGAACATTGGTGTTGATACAGAAAAGCAGTTTGAGGAAGGATATTTTACTTATGCCAATACATTTTCAGAAGTGCCCCTTGTAAAATACTTCAGTCAAATGGTCTCATAATTTTACCAGATGCCCTTCCTAGCCAAAACCAAAAACTTTCAAATGAGAAAAGCTGCATGGTATAATCATATTACAAGAATGTCATAACTGGTTTGTGGAAACAAAGAATCAGAAAACATGACCCCCATGTTGTCTGAATTATTTTTGTTTGCCTAAAAGAGATATAACAAATGAGAAATTACTGTAAATAAATGCTTATGTAGAAATAGTATTTTCTTCTGCCACAAACAAACTGTATTACCTAGCCATACACTGGGTAAAAATCTGATTAACCATTAGCTTCTCTACATAAAATTGCAAAATGTTATAATTACAAGGGGCCTTATGGGTCATGTGGTCCAAACTTCAGCAATTGCAGGAAGTCTGTTAAACCATCCCAATAGATGGCCACCTGGCTCATTTGTAAACCTCCAGTAGGAAATCCACCAGTGATCTAGACAGACTGTTCAGAAACTCCTTCTGATACTCAGTCCAAATCTTCTTTTAGTGTCAACACACTAGATTTGTGGTTTTAAGAGAACATATGTGCTCCCTTGTGCATGACAACTTTTTGTTATTTGTAGACTGCTATGATGTGTGTTGTCAACTTCTCTTTTTCAAGCTAAACATCTCTACATTCTTTAATTGCTTCTCATACAACTTGGCTGGTGGCAGTTTTACCATCAAGATATTTCTCTGAATCTACCCCAGTTTCTACATGTTCTTTTTAAAATGTGGTGCCTAAAGCGTGATGCCTTGATTACTGATCAGATCTGATTAGCAATAAAATAGGAATCTACTAGGAAATTGTAGGCTAGTCTGGAAAATTAAAGTAACATCTTGGGAAGAAAATATTGATGAACCACTTTCTTATCATAAATAAACGTATCCATTTAGGCACAAAAAGTTAACTCAAGCAACTGTGTACCTTTTTTTCTATGATTCTGCAACTTCAACATATGCAAAGGATTTTATTTTTACATTATAATTACAAACATAAGTATGCAGATTGAGAATGGGGAAAAGGACAGGGAAATGGACAAAGAAAAATGGTCAGATTTGCCGAAGCATTTACTCCAAGTGCAGATTAACCAGTATAGAGAGCAATTGAAGTATTATCTTCTGTGATCTGGGCATAGTATTTTGATTAGTATGACCCAAAATGGCACTAACCTCTTTAGCTACTGTAACATTGTTTGTCTTATTTAGTTGGTGCCTCACTGGTATTCCTAACAACTTCCCCTATACACTGCTGCCAAAGCATGTTTCTTTAATCCTGTACTTATACATTTCATATTTATAACTTTATTATTGTTATCAATGAACATCAACCTTTTGAAATTGGGCCAATAGTTAACCCTCTTGAGGTCATTCTGTTATTTATTTATTTTTGTCCTCTATGATGCCAGCCAACCCTTGAAGTTTAATAGCATCTCCAAATCTGATTGTCATGCCTTCTATTCCATGCTATTTATAAAACTATAGAAAAGCACTAGTTTGAAGACAGAATCTTGGGAATCCTACTCAATCACTACAGAATCATTTAGTAATAGGTGTGCTGTTTCAACCAACTGAAAAATCTACTGAGCCACATTACTCTCTGGCCCATATTCATCCATCTTGTCTTTAAAAAGTAAAAGCAGATATTTTGTCAAATGCTTTATTGAGATTATGATATACTATGTTCACAGCATTCCCATATATCCCCTCCACCCCCATTAATTCCTTTTAAAATAAAAAGAGATAAGTCTAGTTCAATAATTTGTTTCTGAAAAACCCATGTTATTTTCATGGGTTTCATTTTATAGCAATACCTTTCCAAACAGTTTATAGGCATGCTACTTGATGATCTATCAATATTACTAGGCATTCAACTAACTATCATTTCCTAGAGCCTCTCTATTGCCTTTTTAAAATACTGGGGCTATGTTTGTTCTTCCAATACCTAATCAGTTCTCTAGGCAGTTTCCAATATTGTAGTCAATAGTATTGTTGACACTTGGTATGTAATTTGCAAGGCCCAGAAGTAATTTGCAAGGCCCAGAAGTCTTAAATGCATGGAAAAATAGTTAGAAGGCTTCTTACAGGTCAATGAGGAACCTGACAATGTCACAGTTTCCCTATATCATGTTGAGGATTTCCAAATGTCTCCCTTGTACTCCCTCCATTACTAGCCATGCATGTAGCTACCAGTAATACCTATCTCTACTATCTGTATATGCTGTTTGTCTCCCACATACAATTTAAAGCTGTTCTGAAAAAGTTAACAAAGTATTTGCCAACACTTGGGCAAATATGTCCATTTCCCTTTGCCTTTTTCCCATTCCCATTCTCAGTTTACGTTTGTAATAATAATGTAAAAATAAATTCCTATGCATAAATTGAAGTTGCAGAGTTATAAAAAAAAGTTAACCAGTTGCTTTTTGTGCCTAGATGGATTAAGACATTTAATTTTTTTGGCAATAATAAGGAAATGATTTGTCATCATCTCCTTCCCAGGATGTTATTTCAATTTTCCGAACTAGCCTACAATTTTCTGGTAATCTCCCATTTTATTACTAACCAGATTTGATCCTATTCACACTTAATAGGCTGAATATTCCCATCTAGAGTCTTAAAAATTCTAGATCAGTAGTAAAATAACTTTCACATATGCTACAGCAAAAGGCAAAATGGAAATAGTGATGGCACAGGGTTAAGCTTTTGAGATGAATGTGGATTTATTAACATCCAATTTGTTCTGAAAAGTCTAATGACATGGCAAAAATATATACCTTCTTCGACAGAAATTGGTTTTTCCAGAAAAAACATTGTTTGTTTCCAGTGTGTCTTGGTACAACAGGGACAAGTTGAAAGCAGGATCTGCAATAACAAAATTCAGAGAACCATGATAAAGTACAAGTCTAAATAACAAGCTTCATTAATTCATTGTACAACCATACATGTTAAATGTTTGCAACACTAAATAGGCTTATTTCCAAACACCTTAAGGCTGCCAAAAGCTGCCAACATATAAACTATATTTTACAATTAATTTTAAACCTATAGCTTTGAAATACTTACTTGTTTGTTACAATTTTTCTCAAAATGCACATCAAAATATCCAGCAATCGCCTGAATTAAAAGGAAAACAAAATAGCAAACAGAAATTTTAGTTTACTAGACTCACTAAATAGGTTAAAGCCTATTATCCCCAATTCCGATAACAGAAACCAGCCCACCTTAATCAACATTGAGACTTTAAAATGCTGAAAATATAACACAATGTTTTTTAAAAGCCCTACTTCCTTCACTCCTGCTTTCAACTCTTGTGAAGCACTTCTTTCAAATGCTATTTACCTTTGTTGATGTGCCCATTAGGTTTGCTGGGCAACTTCTTCAAAACTACCTCAGATCAAATCACAGAAAAATCAAGTCTCCTGTCCTGGCCAGTGACAACACAGTCCAAAACCAGGACTGAAACATGCATCTTTCTGACTTTGTATATGGAACCTTATGGACTCACAGAAAATATGGACATGAAAATGAATTTGTGATTTGCTGATGATCTGGGGAAAGCTCTTGAAATATAATGGGCTCCATAATGATCCATGCTTATGATTCATATTTTTGTGTCTTCCATACTGGAATGGGATACATTTGAGACCTTCTGTGCAACCTTCTGTGTCTGCCATACTAGAATGAGATACATTTGAGACCTTATGTGATAGAGGGAGAAATCTCGTAATGGTGGCAAGGGCAAAACAATATGATACACTAATTAATCTTGTCCTACAATTCATAACAAAATAAAGAGCTTGAAATCAAGAATGCAAGGTAGAAAAGGAAATTTGTTACATAACAAAGACATCGCGTTGGTCGATTCTCTAATTTTTAAAAGCAGCAGTCACATAAACTCAGCTTTGTAATCCAGTTTATGATCACAAGAACAGGAAAAAATACTCTCCCACCTTCTGTTCCCTTCCTTGTCTATGTCACATCCTTTACATCCTTTTATTTTTAGGCCTTTCTGTTTCACTTTATTTTACCTCCACATCAGAGGTGGTATTCTGTCTGTTCACACCAGTTTGGCCGAACAGGCAATGGTGGCAGCTCTGACATCATTACTGATTCTGCCAAACCGGTAGTGGCGGCCAAGCTGACATCATCACGCATGCGCAGAAGGTCCTGAGCATGCCCAGAAGTGCCATGTACGAGCAAAGTGTGCATACACCCCCGCTACTGAACTGGTAGTGATGAAAAGCCTGCTCCTCATCTACCCTCAGGCATACTTCCCTTTTCTCCTCAAAACTAAATCAGCAGAAAAACTCAAGTTTGAAAAGAAACTGTTTGCTCCACTCTCTGCTGGGAAAGGAAAAGCAAAATATTGCAGCTGTAAGTAAGTAAACCAAAATGACTGCTACCCACCTAGTCTAGGCACTAGGCTGCCAGCTACAGGCCAGGGCAAATGGCTCCTATTATCTAAAAATTCCAAATTATTCAGCAACTTCCTTAAGAAGTCACAAAATCTGTCTCTCCCTATCTGTTCCTTTAGTCTCTCCCATGCTGTCAGCAATTCAAGATCGATCAGACGAGGAGAATCAAGTCTTGCATTTTAAAACTGTTTTTATTGTGTTACAGTAACAGAATCTTGCAAATACAAACGCTCCTTCCTCCTGTTATCTTCAAGAGAATAAGGGAAGGTCAAGTCAGAGATGCTTTCTCAAATTACATTTCTGCCTTTTTAAAAAAATCTCCTTTCCTCAAGGTTACTCTTACAGCCCATTATGTATACTTTTTTGGCAGGCAAAGAATAATGGCCACATTTTTCAGAAATATTTGAATTTGAAAAGAAAGGTGGTTGTACATGGAGAAATAGCTTATAAAAGCCTATATTATGTTCCAAAACCAGGCCTGTAAAAAAATTTCAATGTTGACCAATGGGGAAAAAGTGGCTCTGACCAACCTTAGAAAGACTGAGTTGCTTTGGTTTTTTGCTCCATCATGGGCTGACAGTGTGCTATCTTTGACTCTTGACAGGGTAACACTTCCCTAGACAGAGCTGATGTACAATTTGCAGATCTTTCTGGAATTGCAGCTCTCAGTCAAAGAGGTGGCAGCCATTGTTAGGGGAGCCTTTGTACAAAAATACTTTGTGCATCTATTGTGCCCATTCCTGGTCTGGAGGCCTTGCTCACAGGAACTCATGACTTGGTTGCTTCTTAGCTGGACTACTACAATGCACTTTACATCTTGTTGGCTTTAAAGGCCAAGTTACAACTGCAATGGAATATAGTGGCATGTGGTGCTGGGTGCCCCTTGGGTTGCCCATTATCACATCACTGTCATTATCACTGTTGTAAGAGCTGCCAGGTTTTTCCCCAGATGCAGTTTGCCAGCCCTTTAAGGTAGATCTGATTAGGAAACCAAAGTCATGCAAACTAATACTGATTTCAAGGTTACAGTTAACAGATCTTCTAAGTCTGATATATGCTTTTTCCAATCGCCCCCTTTATCTTCATGTGAACTAGAGAGAGACTTGTTTGAGACACTTTCTCAGATTACAGTTATGGCCCTGACTCAGATTTCTCTTACCTAACTGTTAGCACTTTTGCCCATGACACAATTCAAGATGCTAGTTATTACCTTATAGCTCTATATAGCAGAGAGTTAGGTTATCTGTGGGACCTCATGTCCATGACAGTATCTGCTCACCCCACCAGATTAGATAGGGTGGGCGTGCCTCGGATCTCTTTTCTTACATGCTGCCATTTTTTAATGTTTTTATTTATCTATTTAATTCTAGTCTATTTATTTATTTATTCCACCTGTTTTCAAAAGGTTTCCAGGTGATTAACAAATCAAAAATATTAAAAACTAATGGAAAAAATGCAGCAATGAACAAAAATGAAGGATAAAAAAATAGCAAGGATGACAGCAAAAAGGACAGGAAAGAAAAGAAACACACATTTTCCAAACAAGCTTCAATCCCCCTTGCCAAAGGCTGGGAGCGAAGAGCCATGTCTTCAAGGTGCTTCAAAATACCAAAAGCATGGGATCAAGGAAACTCAATTTTTCTACAGTAGCCGCTACCTACCCTGAGTTTCCCCCCTGGTATCCAGTAAGTCCTCAACCTTTTAGCTTTCAGGAATGCCATTAAGTGTTAGCTTTTCCTCCAGGCTTTGGGATAAGGTAGGTTGGAGCCCAGGGATCATATTGTTCAATGGATTACAGATTGCTGGTGAGGTACCAGGTTTTTTGTTTTACTGTCTTTGGATTTTATAAATGTGAGCTATTGGGTTTCATAAGATAAACAGCTATATAAGACCAATGCATATATATTCATTATTCATCCTAGGCCAATAATACACAGTTATGCCTAACTAATCAGAAAAAAGGGAAAGTGGGATATCCATTTATATAACTGTATTTGCAAGTCAAATACTGTAAGACAGTTTCAAACAGGTTTAGTAAACAAAAACTGTTAAAAAATGTGAGTTTTATATCTTTTTTTCCCTCCTCATCCGAGGTAATGGAATGTGCTTTCTACTTTTTATGTGCAGAGAGTAGCAAAACTTTTAGATTGGATTGTACATTTTTCTATGGAAAACTAGTTGCCAAATATAGTTACAAATCACTAATGAACACAGGAATTAATTTGAGCAGGTAAGCATAAATAGCAACAGAAGGTTAATATAGCCTGTGTCGTGTCCTATAAAACTTTCAAGCCAGGAATTTAATGGTTTAGTCATTCAGCTTTCTTTTACCAAAGAGAAAAGTTTAACTTTAAAGTAAGTCCTGATAGAAGTTTAACAACTAATGTCTGCAGATAGGAGTGTTACCTGCATTGCACAGATTGATACTTAAGCCTGGATCACAAGAAATACTACTAAGAAATAATTTCCTCCAGTTCAAGTAGGCAAAAGCACAGTATTCTAGCACTAGTCATTTTGAAGGTTTGATAACAAACATTTAAATTTGACACCGACACCACAAGTTCCTGTACTCTAATGAGCTTCTCATTATCCTAAGAGTTGGCTAGCTTCAATTTTCTATCTGCTGCATTTTAATTAATTGACTGATTGAGTGATAGATACTGCTTAGCAAGGACAGTAAGCAGTTTACAGAATTAAAACATAATTGCATCAATTGGAATGTCCATGGTACAAATACAAAGTCATGTTTCTGGTTTCAACCTCTTTTCCTGTAGTACTCCAACAAAGGGTACTACAAGCAGGTTCTCTCAGTGAAGTGTCTTATTCAAGTCAATTCTGATTGGAGAAAGCAATCCTCAAGTACCTAGCTTTCAAACCATGAAGAATCTCTGAATATTTATGATCAAGTTTGGTAAGGCAGGTGCAGAGTTCACTGGGCTATTAAATCTAGAGATAATGGTGACAAGTTTCACTATGGCTACGCATTTATTTTTAAGGCTGGATTCTTCTGCAATTTGGACTCAAGACATCCTTAAAGTCCAATATTACTTCTTCCACAGCAAATATTAGGTCATGAGCTCATTTGTATGACTTAACGCCATAAAACATTTGGAACTTAATTTTTTTAGCAATTGCCTAATTAACATTGGTGGAAGCATCTCCCCAAAAGCACCACATGGTAGAATTAATCATTTTATTATTTCAGTGGCTAATTATTTTTGAAAATAGCTAGCCACTGTAATAAAATAAATTACTTTTAAACTGTTAGCTTTGAACTTTTAAGAATATGATTTAAGGTTTATACAAACAATTATTTCCCTTTATCTTTCCCCTTAAAATACTAAGGCCAACCAAATAATACAGTTTAAACAAAGGGGATTAAAGAAAATAATTACTAAAAGAACAAGAGCTTATTCTTCAAATTCAATTATTCTAAGCAGTTGGTCCACAGCAACCTTAGCATCATGGATCCATGGAACAGAAAATTACATAATGGGTGGTCAATTGTCAATATCAGAAATATCAAGTGGGTCTTGGCCACACAGTATTTCTAAATTGCAATGCTGTGAGCTGCCAAAAATGCAATTGTACATGACAATTGTTCCAAACGGAGGTTGATTTTTTTCAGAAGGATTGTTCACCAGGTCTAACATGGTAATGGTTTCCTGAGAAGGATTAGTATGGGAAAGAAACACTTTG